TGTTGTCTTATGTACTGCATATGTTCACCAAAAAGTCTTCAGAAAATAATCTTCTAAATAGATATGGTTAGCCATAAGGGGCAGATAGCACTCAGGTGCTCTGACATGTGAGGGAGACTCATGTACAGAAGCCACTTAAATTTTGCCTATGGCTTGCCTTCCCTCCCTACTCCCCACTCCCCAAATTCCTTTCCATTTGCTAAGGCAGGATGCCAGTTTTCAAAGCCCCATGGAACAGGAATTGTATAAACATTAGCGAAGCCGATAGCAACCCTCTACTTAGAAGGGCTCTGTTCTCATTCTTGTTCTGCTTCTCCCCTGGCTCTCATTTGCCACTTAGTATGAATGTCAGGCCACCCTGTCCCCGTGGTGAGGGCTGACTCATGGCCTTTGTTTGGATCCAGCTTTCCATCTACTCAACCTTTTTGTCCAATGGATTAAAATTTCAACAGTAAACAAGGTAATAACAGAAAATGCCATCACAGGGAGCCTGACACACACCAATGTCCATCTAGTTTAATTGTGTCTCTAGGACACCCACTCAGCCAGTTTCTCCACACCGAACAGGATTCTTCTGAATGTCACATTCACAGAATGTAGTAAGATACACATTTGGCCTCAAATAAATAAATTCTGTTATCATGGTTACGTCAAAGAACACAAAGAAAGACCTATTATTCCCCCTCACAACTAGAAGTCAAGACAAGATAGACAAGTCTTTGTGTTGTGTTTTTGTGCCAATGAATAGGATTTTTCTGTCCTACCTTTCCACTTTTGTGGTTCTCAGCTTTACACCAGGGTCTCAGCACTAGCAACATCTACTTCACATGGGTCCAAAACCTTGTCCCATGCTTCTTTAAGGGTCTTGAGATAATCCCCTAGGTCACAGAGATGGGCACCTCTCCCATGGCCTCCAGGACAGAGGGGAACCTAGTCATAACAGCTTGCTGTTCTGCTTGTTCAATTCCTATTCATTTCTGGCTTCTGGAGATTTACTTTTTATTCCTGTACATTATACAGCGATCAGTGTTTATATTAGGAAGACTTCCACATTTTCATATTGCAATATATGTCATATTACAGAAGGGATAGTGTTTAATCACAGGTTTAAATTGTCCCATATGTGGTATTTCGATATTAAATCCTAAGTGTATTTGATACACAAAGATTCCATGATTCATTGTTTCAATCTCTCTTGCAATATTCTCCTTCGCCCTATTTTCTTTTTCTGGCAAAACTCCAACACTTATGTCTTACCTTTGCATTTAACTTACCGACAAGCGGCATTCAGAAGGGGGTGCAACCATGCAGATTGATAACTTTGCATATTCACGGTCCTAGTCTCTACTCAAATCTTAATCCTGCTTCACAGTCCTAGTTTTCCTTGTGATCATCTCTCCCATCCCACAGCTATTTTAAAACCTTTCCACTCTCCTTATCCCTGCCTCCCTCTCACAGCCACTTATAGAAGTATTTTCAGAAGATAATTTTACTTTCTACTTCCTAAAGGAAATAGAGACCATGAGACTAGAGCTTTCTCAAATTCCAGTCACCCAACTTACGAACCGGTTCATAGTGGAAAATACCCCTTTCTCCTTCCTTCCTCTTAAAAGGAAGAAAAATCTCTCCTCCAGTCTAAGGAGAGTAACAATAAAATTTATCATGGAAACTTGGATACTTTTCCAAGTAAAAGAAAGGTTCTTTTAATAATTATCTCAGGACAACAGGTGTAAACCAGAAGTGTCCTGGGAAAAGCAGGACGTGTGACCCCATTAAGTTTATTACTCCATCTGGCCCTGGGACACACCCTTGTGCATGCTTCAGCACCATATTCCTTTTCATGCTTCCCTCCTCTCCTGTATGTGCAAATTCTCCTTCTCACCAAAGTTTCAACATTTTCAATATTTTTAACACCAGTTCTCTCTCTCTCTCTCTCTCTCTGTTCCTATCCTTTCTCTGCCAAGTTTATTGAAAAATTTGTCTACAGTCTCTGACTGTGTCTCTCTGTCTCTGTCTCTCTTCTGTCTTTTTCAGCTCCCTCTCTCTTCTTCATTTACAGAATTCTGTTTTCTTCTCTCACTTCCATTCTGATACTACTCCTGAAAATGTCACACAGGTCTCTCTTCTTTGATAGAGCAAACAGTATTCAGTGTGGCTCAATTTCTTAGACACACTATCTGTGTGGCCTTACATAAGTTAACTATCTTTTCTCTTGGCTGATTTTCTAAAATGGCCCAATCTAGGCCTTCCCCACAGACTTGCTAGTGATGATTAAATGAAGAAATCCATGCGAAGCATTTAGCATCCACAGCACATTTTATAATGTGACCCACCCACCAGCAGTGCTAGCATTGTGCCAGCATGCTCATCCTTTTAGAAAGACATCCATGCTGGACCATCTTGAGGTAGATGGCCCCATTGGGAATCCTGTGTGTCACAGTTGGAATCTTTTGAGACAAGAGAGTAGGGTAGAGCCTCTTTATGCTGCCATTTCAGAGGCCCAGAAGCCTAAGCACAGTAATTAGAAAGGGAGTTTCCCCTCCCTCTGTGGCAGGGTGTTCCTTTCCTGTTTGGTATGACAGCTAAGATGTGGTTAAGACACTGTTCCCAGCATGGTAATATACCTGGCACATTTATCCTTGTCAGAAGCTGTCAGTGGCAAAGCCTTATCTTTTCCTGAAATGAAATCAAATGGCACTATGGAGTTCTGACTCCAAACAACCTTCACATAAGTAATTTGCAGATACTACATGATGGTATGTAGACAGTCATCTGCCCCTGCTGCCTGTGACACGCCTCACCTGCATCCCTCACCACTGACAAGCCAGCCGGCATTTCCAGGTACTTTGGAATTCTTCTAGTCATTTCTCTACTGCTTTCTCATGTGTTCTGTTATAGGTAGAATTGGGTCTTCCTCTACATTTGTCATGTCTGCATTATATCTGGTGGAGATGCCTGAATTATTTCTTCAAGTGGAAGTCACCCTTCTAGAACTTCAGAGCCAAAACAGACCTGCTGCAAATTTTGTTTCAATAGTAGTAGTAACTATAGTAGGTGAAATTTATTTTAATAGTAGTATTAATTATAGCAGGTGACATTCATTAAATGCTTACTATGTACCAGCAACTGTGCTAAGGATGTCACATATTTTGTCTATTTTAATCAGGACTAGAGGGGTAGAAATAGACATGTGAGCTAAAACAATTATCTTACCTACTCTTGGTGGAACTTTAAATATTATTGCTCTAAGTATCAGCAAGGTTTAATAAAATCTTTAGCATGCATTAACTGCTAAAGCAATGAGCATAATCACTTAAATATTAGAAAGGAAGAAGGCAGTATTTAGTTTTACTGATAGGCATGATTCAAAATTAAATGACAAGGCAAAATCTAACTGTGTAATTGGAGACCAACTAATTAAGATTACTGATAATTTTCTGTAAGCCAAAGTTAAAGCAATTTGCTTTAATACCTAAAGCAATTTAATTTAATACCTAAGCAATCAGAATATATTATAGTAAAAGGGCTTATTTTGGTATCTTGACAAGGAAAACTCTTTGTGGCATTCTATACAAGTCGAAAACATTAATTCTGCATCACTCCACAGAGAGTTCAAGGAAATGCTGACCCTTGATAGATAGTCAATGTGTCTGAATGTTTGTTTCTTTAGTTTTCACTGAAAAGATCATATTAGTTAATCTTTCAGTAGCATTCATAATTTAGAAGATATTAAATCATAGCAACTATGCTGAAAATATATCCCTTCTATATTCTGACAACTACTAGTCCCACCAACTTCATTCTTTGCCATGAAGAGTTAATGGAAATTTTATGAGCAATGGATGCAATGACATAATAAAAATGTTGCCTCAATTAGAGGCAAATGCAGGAAATGAGATCACTAAAGCTGGGAGAGAAAAAGACACAGGCCCACTCAGGAAATAAAAATAACCAGAAAACAGCAAGTAGAGAACTGCACATGAGAGAGAAAGAGAAGATGCAGGAAAGCATAGATTTCACCCTAGGCAGAGTAAGATGGATTCAAAGACCTGGGGAACCTGTGAGGCCTTTCCTGATTGAACTACAATGTGTGCCAGGATGTGACAGTACAACATTTTATCAATCAGATAAAAGAAAAGCAGAAAAACAGGTGGCAATTCCTACATGTAAGAATTATTGAGTCTTTACAAAGATCAGACTGAAAAATACTGTCAATCCCTTACTTCACTGAATAAAACAAACCTCACTTTACAAATAAGAAAACTGAGGCCAGAGATGCTGAATTTGTGAGCAGGGAGAAGAGTTTGGTACTCAGTTTATGCACCTAGCACAAGTATGCTGGTATTTCCTATTTTAAAGCTAAATGGATGAAATTTTAAGTCAAGAAAAACCTGATGAACAAGTGAATGGAACACAAAGACCTGTTTGAATTCTGAATTTTCAATGTACATCTTTCACATCAAATCATTGAATTAATTGATTAAAAACATTTTGATGACCTAGTAACATGTTGACAACACATTATATAGTAAATGATCCATAGAACTGGGATCATTTTTGTTACTTGTTTTGAATCATTATTTTATTTTTCTCATCCCTTTGTGACAGAATACAATCTGAAAAAGATTATATTTTGCTCCCTATGTCTTTTTTTTTTTGAAGTCATTCTTCATGCTGAAAATGATAAAATGATTGTCCTCAAATTTATAAATGAGGGAGAGTAAACCACCCAGGAAGAAGTTCTTAAATGGTGGCCTATTATTTTAGAATTATAGTGAAATTAGTCTGTGGTGGTCAAAATTACCAATTACTGTGGACAATATGTGAGTGGAAATGTCTTTCTTCAATGTTTCTATTGAAGTCTTGACTTGTGGGCTAATCTCTGAAACAATCAAGGGAACAGGACTACCTACATCTCTTCCTTCTTAGGCTAAACATCGGTTTTCCCAGTAGAGTAAGGCCCTGGTCACGTCATGATGGGAAAGCATGCAGCCTCTTACCCTCAACTTCCAGCTTCACCAGTTTGGAATAGGCAGTCCCCAGGCTGTTTTTTGCCACACATCGATATTGACCTGTGTCTTCCTTTTGCACATTGTGAATTCTTAAGCTCCCAGATTCAAGGACTGCAATGCGGGAATTCTCCTGCCAGAAACAGAGACATGTGTTTGAAAACATCTGGGATCAGGGATGCATTTGCCATATTCCATCAAGTCATCCTCATCACTATTTTCATCAAAATTGTTAACCTTTATTGGGCTCTTATCACATTTAACACACAATATTAATTGAGATCGTGCAGGATTGCCTACGTTTTACCATCACAATGGTCTCGTTTTTATTGTTTTCTTTCATCTCATAGGAACAGTAGGGCTGACTTGACTTCCTAAAAGTCATGCCCAAATTTGTTTAATTAACAGCATTGCTTTAATGGGCTGGGAGTGTAGCTTAGTGGTGGAGTGTAGGCTTAGCGTGTGCAAGACCCTGGGTTCAATCCCTAGAATCAAAATAAAACAAAACAACTTAAAAAAAAAAAAACAAGCAAAGACCCAAACAATAAAAGCATTGTGTTAGACTATCATACTTACTATACATATGGTATCCTTAAGAGAATACATGCCTTTTGAAAAATTGGAAAATTCCACAAATAATATGAAAATTACTCTTTGAATTAAAACATGGCATGCATTTTTTTGTTTTGTTTTAGGACCTGAAGTTTAGTAACATACATAGAGCCACCTTTGTTTTCACTGTAGAAAATATACCAAGATGTATAACAAAAAAAAAAGTCAGAGGATTTGTCATATTGTCATAAAAATTTGCATTATTTATTTTACTTTAAGTAAAACAAAGCTAATCAATTTTATAGTTTGTTTCAATTAACTGATATATACTGACACCTCTGCATTTCCCATAGGATAGGCTGGGCATGGTAACAAGGAAACAAGTCTGTGATCTTACTTTTAGGAAAGAAAAATGTGGAGAGAGGCAATCATGATACAGTATAATAATTTACTAGTAAATGTGGGGATAAAAAAAAAAGCATTCAAAATAAGCATATGAATAATTCACTGTAACTTGACTTCTCTCCATGATTAAGGAGGTATTTATGAAGGTGTTTGTTTTTCAATCTTGAGTCTTCTTGCTCTAATTTCTCTCCAGTGTTTCCATTTCTTTTCTTCTAAACCTCATTTCCCTCTACCCTCATTGAAGGTGTTAGTTTTAATGTTTGGATTTTAGTTTCATCTTTTTTATTGCCTCGGTTTCAATGGTAGAAATGATTTAGTATTCAATCAACCAACAAGCAAAAAGGAGTGTAGCTTTGCTTTGGCTTTCTCTAACATTACTTTTCCATCCTAACATTACTGATTTCCACTTTTTTTTCCCTAGCCATTTCCAACTGGAATGCCCTAGAGTTTGTATAAATGGGAACAGAAATATTTAAGTTTAGTTAAAATGTCCATGGAAAAAATTTATGCTAGAAGTTTGTAAGGATGTAATTGAGTGTTTGAGGGACTGTTATATTTTAAAATATGCCTTAGGTATCACTTACCCTGAGAGTGGTGTCCCCCTTGATCCAGGACACGGCTGGTTTGGGGTTGCCCATTGTGGTACATGGTAGAACTGCTTTTAATCCCTCTATTATTTTTACACTTATGGGAGGACGAGTTATTTTAGGTTCTATGGGAAAATGAAAATTCAAAATTAGAAAGGTAATATAACTGCATTGAGTTTTAACTACTTAATTCTGAATATTCATTTTAAGAATAATTTTAAACATATTAGATTATAATATTCACCAAATGCTGATACAAGTTCTTACTGGATATCAAACAAAAATCAATTTTATTTATTTATTTTTATTTTTAGTATCATATCCTCATTGTACTGGGGGTACTCAGTTTCCCATTTTTATATATGAGTACATAATATTTACCCCATATTCACCCTCCTATACCCTTTTTTTATATCCTCCCCTCTCTCACTGGTACCAACCCCCAGACAGGATCTGTTTTACCTTCCTAGGCTCCATATAAAAATTAATTTTAAAAGTCTTGGTTATCTCAGTTCTGTTGAAACTTTTCTTTGCACACAAATTTATGAAACACATTAGGGGCCTGAAGATTCCACAGGATTCTTCACTTTAAAAGATAATTAATAAAAAGCTGATTAACGTGGGCTGTCACCATACTCATGTTTAAATAAATTAAACATTATTTAATTTATACCAAAAGACATGAAAACATTGAAAATTTTTGATTTGATTCTATATTTTTGAATTGTGTCCTATTTTTCCCTTGGTTTCTATCTTAATTTTTCTTTTAAATATTAAATTTCATGTTTAATAATGAGATGCATTTATCTTCTAGAAAGTAAACCAGATGCTATTACACTAGTACCCAGAAAATAATTTTGTCACACGATTTGGTGTGACTCAATTCTATAAAGTAAACTCATGTAATTTGCTCTTCTGCCAAATAGCCCAGTTAATCTTTCAGAAGAAATAGTCAATGTTGGCTAATACTTGTCCTCTAATAAGAAGCTTTGAAAGGAAGTAGCTATCAACTCTAATATAGAGAGCTGATAATTTCAAAATGTTAGTAGTTTTGTACGTGAAACATTCATAAAATAACTAAAACTACATTTATGTGCTTACAGTCTTATATTTTAGATAGAGAACAGAGGGATGTCTTTGAAGGAGAGACTTCTGAGAAATAAGTGCATTTTATTGCTTTCAGGTCATATGCCATAATCAACTTCTCACTTTGATAGAGAATAGCATGAAAGAAGGAGTGAGGGGTCTTTGTGGTTGTGAACGATATTTTCAAGGACTGCATGGCCTATTGGCTTTTAATGTAGGCATTTATCACCATATAGAGTTGCTATGATCCTACAGTGTGGAAAAAGTATAAGGCAGGCTTGAAAATGTGCCATATGAATAGCATTGTCAGCTCTGTCCTTCTGCTGTCTATGTACAGCTTACAACTCTGTTTCCTTCAACAATAGTGATTACCTAGATTTTAGATACTAGCCAGGCCCCTCAATTGTGAGTTGTATTGTCATAAAGTTGTTGGCAAAAGCTTGGCCTGGGAGTTAATATTCCTATGATTGTCAAAGTGTGAGTTATCTCTTCTTTCACTGGGTTCCCTGAACAAGATCCCTATAATAAACCTGAGGCATAAAGAGTGTTTTATGTGGAACCATCTAAAGAATTACTTGCTTGTTAAAAAATTCACTCCTGTATTCTCTGAAATAGATGACTTGGTCATCTGTGTGTAGAAAGTAAGGAGAATCCTTGTGAAAAATTGAATGTAAAGGAGTCTTTACTTCCATCTCCTTTGTGGGGAACGAGAAATGTTTCTATCCCCACCCTGACTTTTCCCTACTATGTCCTGTTATACTAAAATGAATCCTTGCTAAAACTTAAAAAAAAAAATCAAATATCAAGCAAATAGGATGAGTAGAGTGACGATGTGTAGTCATGGACTTCCACCTTAGGGGGTTGTGACTCATAGTGGAGCCATGTGCACTGACCAATCAGAACTGGCAGGATGCAGGAAATATCCTGTGGTGCTAGCACTGAGCCCCTGAGGTGATGAATCTTAGAGAGTGAAGAGGGATGTCATTGGGGAGGCCCTAAGGTAGCTGGAGTAGTGATGGGGGTAGGGGTCTCATGAAGCAGCTTTCTCCAAGCAATGTGAACATGTTCCCAAAATTTAGTAAAACCCCAGAATTGTCACCAGCTTTCTATTGTAATTAATCTAAGACTCCATTATATTTACAACCACACAATACAAGATTAACACACATTTGAAAGAGCCTAAACCTAAAAGAAAGGAAGCAAAATAAAAATAAAAATTTATCCTGGAGAAAACAAAAATAAAGCAAGGAAAAAAAATGTCTTTTAAAAAAGGCACTAGTGATGTCCTTAGAGAGGCCTCAGTGAAGTCTGCATCAGACAAGTAGTTTACTATGAGAAAAAGAACAATCAGAGAAAATGTCATTCTTAGAAATTAAAAATACAGTTGTTAAGATTAAGATATGGAATAGGACAGAATAAAGGTATGGTTATACCAAACACCAAATTCTTGATATGGAAGGAAAAGTTAAAGAAATTTACAAGAAGAAAGAATATCAAGATATGTAAAAAATATAAGAAAAAATTAGAGTCACAAGTAATTGGAAAAGGAGATATGGTATTTGTTACGAGTTTGAGAAACAGAACAGAAAAATAAAAAGAAAGAGAAATTGAGAGGGAAGAAGATTTTTCATTTTGAAAAATCTCAGTCTTTAGATTAAAGAAGACCATCTAAAATTGTGGAGGAATAAGAAAACCAACACAAAACATACTCTTGAAAATTTGCAAAATTTATGAACTCTAGAAATAAAATGAGTAAGAAAGATGAGAGACAGAAATATGAAAAAAAAATTTTATCTGCAACATAGGATGTCATGTGTCAGTGAATAATTTTCTACTAAAAGCCAAGCGAAAAGGCTTTTTAAACTCTGACTCTATACTTAGCAAAGTTATTATCCACGAGTGAGGGCAGAATGAAAACTTTCAGGCATGTAAAAATTTGGTGTTTTACCTTAGATGTTCTGGAAAAAAAAAAACAACTTATAATTTCCTCCAGCAAAACAACAAAAGGTCAGAAAAAGCGATGGGAGGAAAAATAGCACAAAAACTAGTAAATAAAAGTCCCAGGTAGACCTACATTGTACCACTGTGTACAGTGGCAACATGCGTGTTAGTATGAGTCTCCGCATTGGGGTGTGGTGTCAGAGAAGAGAAGACAAAGGTTGCATTATTGCAAGGCCAGTAGTTTGCAAGCAGCAGGTTTGTGCAGCACAGGAGGTCATGAGACTTGAGAGTGCTGATCGGGAGTGTTTGATGATATACCTCCAGGTAGGAGAAAGGACTAAGTATGGGTGAAAATGAAATCCCAGTTGGGGAATCCATGGAAAACAGAACAAAGAGGAATCAGGCAAGGTAACAGAAAGAAGTCAGAGAGGTGGAATGTGGTTCCATGTGTGATGGTGTGCAGTGCGAGGACAGGAATGAGAGTTGAAATAGAGAAAAGGAGTGAGAGTTTGAGCCTTCATTTGGAGGCAACTCATGAGTGTAGGAACTATTTTCCTCATTCAACAAAGCTGGACAAAGAAGTGTCCATGATCAGAGAGTGATATCGTGGAGTTTAAGATTTCAAATGCTGACCATTTCCAGTGGGTGACAAGGCCAAGTGTGGGTCATTCCAGTACGTAGGCTGATGAAGAGTTAGGTCAAACATCACTGGATTTGTGGGGGTCAAGGAATTATGAGGATGAAGAAGCTGGTTGTTCTGCTTTATGTCAAAATTCTTGAGGATGGTGGCAGGAGGAAAGAGCAAAAAATCTGAGTCTGATAAATATGGAGGAGTGTCTAGGCGTGAGCTGATGGCATGCTGAATAGAAAAGAGACTGCTGAGAACTGCATAAGCCCTAATGAGGGGAAAGATTCCATATAGAAATACAAATGTGATGACTTAAAAGCAGCAAGGGTGCTCGAAGGTTAGCAGACAGCACTTGCTAGCTGTGTAGACATGAGAAGGCGACAGTGAACATCCTCCATTTAAGCAGAAGAAAATCAAGTTTGAAATGAGGCAAACGAGGTTAGAGATTGAAAGAGTGCTTGATTGTATGGGAACTCTATTTCAAATGCATTTGGTAAAGAATTTAGAAGGAAGCTCCCAGAAATAGGGAGCCTTGTGAAGGTGAGAAAATGGGAGAGAAGAGAGAACTGAGAGTGGTGGTGGATGGCTGGATAAGACCTGTGGAATTCACTGTCTTGAACATTGTGCTTTGCACTTCAACTTGTATTTCTGTTGAACCTCCAGATTTGAGGGACACTATTTACTGGCTCTTTCAAATTTTACAAAAGCAACTTTAACAGCAAGAGGTGATTCTCTTCCCACTCACTCATCTTCACTTGCAGGGCTCCACAACTCTCCGCAGCACCTCCCACGCCATTGTTGGCTATGCAACAATAAATACCATCGTCACTGTCTTCCACGCTCAGGATGGTGAGGAGCTGCCCATTCTCCCGGATGCTGTACCGCGTGTCAAAGAGCCTGCAGGTCACAGAAGCAGTGGCGGATTAGTGCATCACTTGCGATGTTTTGGCTTTGATTAATTGATCAACCAATAAATGACTTGTCAATGAGGAAGTAGAAAAAAGTGACAGCAAATTTAAGTGAGTTCTGAATAAGAAAATAGCTTTATTTGGCACAGAAACATAAAACTGAGTTACATTACATTCTAATCTTTCCTGGGCTCCAATAATCAAATAATCTTGTAAGAATGATTTGAAAGGGTGCAGTGTGGCTGCTAAGACCAAGTATAAAGTTCACTTTATTCAGGTAAGTATATCATAACCAAGTCCTGTCCTATAATTACTGGAAAGAAGCAGCTAGAAAATAAACATGCATGCATCAATGTGATAAGTAGAAAGAATAAACTTTTATAGAAGTGGCTACAAATTAATTAATATTCATTCTTTCATTAAACAATTACTTAGTGTCTAACAAGTGCCAGGTGCAGCTCTGGTTACTTGAGATACATAAGGAGGTAAAACAACACCTGTAATCCCAGCTATTTGGAAGGCAGAGATATGAATGTTGTGGTTTGAGGACAGCCTGAGCAAAAGTTAGTGAGGTCCTATCTCAAAATAACCTGGGCATGGCAGCACGCGTGACTGTAATACCAGCTACTTGGGATGTAGTGGTGGAGGGCTCAGGGTCTGGGGTTGGCCTGGAAAAAAAGTATGAGACCCTCTCTGAAAAACAAACTAAAAAAGCAAAAGAATTGGGGCACTGCTTGTGTTCAATCCCCAGGACTGCCAAGAAAAAGGGAAGTAAGACAACTTCATACTGTGAAAACCTATGCTTTACTTATATCATCTCTTTAATTACATGCAAACTGTTCCTTAAGAAGGGAATTAGGGCAACAGAAAGAAATTTGAGGAGAACCATCAAGACAAAAGTAAGGTTTTCTGTTGCTGTTGTTATTGTTATTTGGCTTTTACCAAATAAATGTTTTTCATGATGAATGTATGTAGTAAGTATGATGATAGTCCCAAAGACACATGTCTTATTCACCAGAACCTGTGAGTATCTAACTTACATGTTAAGAATCTTAAAATAGAATACTCTGAGTTATCTACATTGGTCCGATGTAATAATAAGGATTCATAAAAGATAGCAGAGGAAAGAAGAAAAGTCAGAGGAGGAGGTGTAAAAATGGAGGCAGAGGTCAGAGTGATACAATTGCTAGCTAATGTTATAATTAAGGAAGGAGCCAAGGGACTCGAGTGACCATTAGAAACTGAAAAAGGACATTTGATTATCCCCTAGACCTATCAGAGGGAACTCTGCCAACTTTGACTTTGTCCCAGTGAGATTATTTCATACTCATGATCTTTAGAACTATAAAATGATCCGTTTACATTGTTTTAAGCCTCTAAGATTGTGTAATTTGTTATAACAACAATAGGAAATTAACACAGATTTTGGTATCTGGAGGTGTGGTGCTGCTGCTACAAATATCTAAAAGTGGAGACGGCTTTGCAGTTAGGGAATGGTAGGAGAATTTCTAGGAGCATGATAGAAAAAGTCTAGATTTCTAAGAAATCATCCATAGGCTATGTGAGTTAATGGCTCTGCTACTGAGGATTAATAAGGAAGTGAGAGACATGTATCATCTTAGAGAATTCCTGAACAGCACGAACAGACCATTGGTAGAAATATGGATGCTAAGGCTGGGAGTTTACACCTCTACTCCTATCTTCTTGAAAGGCTGAGATCAGGAGGGTTATGGTTAAAGGCCAGCCCAGGAAATAGTTTGTGAGACCCCATCTTCAAATAATCCAAGCAAAATGGACTGGAGGTGTGGCTCAAGCAGAACACCTACTTTAAAAGCACTGAGTTCAATCCCCAGTCTCTCCAAAAAGAAACATGGATGTAAAATGCTCTTCTGGTGCAGACTCAGGAAGAAACTAGGAAGATGTTATTGAAGGAGGGAGGATCCTTGTTATATAGTGGCAGAGAGCTTAGCTAAGCATATCTTGCAGTTCTTTGGAAATTATAGAATCAGATATTTAGCTGAGAAAAATTTCTAAACAAAGTGTTGAGGTTGGGGCCTGGTTTCTTTTGCTGCTTATATTAAAATCCAAGAGGACAAAGATAATTTGAGAAAGAGACCTGCTAAGCAAAAAAAGAAACAAAGGCTTAATTGATGATTTGGAAAATTCTCAACCTATTCAGATTTGTAAAAGTTGTTAAAAACCTTTTCAAATATTTTTATTTGGTCTGTTGAGTCTTTCTACTCCAGAACTTCTGCTACAGCTTGCCTGTTAGAGTACCTAAAGGCTATAGCACAAGGGAATATCTCACCTTATAGCATGAATAATACAAGAAACACTACATTTCAATTAGAGATTAGTGAAAATAAACATGTCATATTTTCCCATAAGCATCTGCCATAGACTGAGGGCTTATGCTCTGCCCAAATTCATGTGTTGAAACCTAGTCCCCATGTGATAGTATTTCATGGTAGAGTCTAGTCACCACATGAGGGGATTAGGTAATGAGGGTGAACCCTCGTGAGTGGGATTAGTATCCCTACAAAAGAAACCAAGGAGAGCTCCATCACCCCTTCCTTCATGTGAAGACATAGCAAAAAACAAAAGGCTATCTCTGAACCAAGAAGTAGTCCCTCACACAACAGTGAATCTACTGGCTCCTTGAACTTGGGACTTCTCAGGATCCAGAACTGTGAGAAATAAATTTGTGTTGTTAATAAACCACCTAGTCTATGGTGTTTTGTCATAGCATCCTACATGAATTAAGACCATGCAGGCCTAAGGTAAGCTACATTGCCTGCTAAAAAGCCTGTGGTTCACTTTGTTACAGATTACTAAAAGAACAGTTTTTCATCAGACAACTATTACAATGAGGAAGGAATATAGAACTATAATATGCCAGGTGGGAATTTCATCTGTTTGACAGTGTGCCTCACTCTGTGTGGAGTCCCTTCTAACTTTGAATGGAAAAGGTGATGGTAACCAAGAGATCAGATTCCTAGACAATGGGCTGGAGACGAGGCTGGTCTATTAACTCCTAGCTTGTGCTGGAGCAGGTGCCCTGAGACTTCCTAATCACTGTGAAACTTCTAGGTTCTACCCTGGGAGTTTTCCTTTACTTCCCCCATGGCAGACAAATCACTGTTTTGCCTTGGGAAATTCTTATAAATGAACTGAACTTCAGACCTAAATTTATAAACTGGAGAAATTTCCCTTTCTGTATTCTGGAAGGTGAAGTTCAATGTTATCCAGAGCTGAGGTTGCATTGGTCAAAGATAAACGGCCAGGCAGCAATGGACCTTCTTACCAAAATGTGGCTGAATACTTACTTAATGAGAATTTTATTTCTGGTCCAAGAAATCTCAGGCTGGGGATAGGATTCCACTGCACACATGAAAGTAGCCACTTCTTCAACTAAGGCATCCACAGTTTCAAGAGGAGTGGTGATGACAGGAGCTGGAAGGAGAGGAGAAATCAAAGAACTTTCCAGAATGTTGTTTACTCACTCTTCTGTAAGCAGCCAGCAACCAGCACATACTGAATGGGAATTGTATTTTCCCAGAACAGAAATTTTCCAAAAGGAAAGAAGATTTTATGTAGAAAACATTGTTTTCAAACTAGTCATTTGAGAATCAAAAGACAAGCTTTCAGGAGAGTGGGGGGCTTAGACTTATTATGAGTGAAAGCAAATCCAGATTTTGTGATGTCCACCATTATATAATTTGAGTGCCCCTTTAAAAAAATATGAATTCAAAATTTCTGTAGCCACCACCAATTCAAATCAACACGAAAAAAAGTGTATCAGAAAAGAAGTCAGAGTGGAAAAGGACAGCAGCTTTAACAACTGTTGTTTTAGAACATTTCCCTCAATTTTATAAAAACAGGCATCCATGTGAACACATTGACATCCTAACATTGCTAATGAGAATTAAAATGCTGCCACCACTGTGGAAAAGAGTATGACAGGGAAGAAGGAAGGAAGGAAGGAAGGAAAGAAAGAAGAGAATTATCAAATGATCCAATAATTCCAGTTCCAGGTACACATTCATAAAAGTTGAAATCTGGGACTCAAGTACATATTTTCCACCCATGTTCATACCAACATTATTCATAATAACCAAAAAATGAAAGCAACACAAGTGTCTACTGACAGATGGACAAATAAACAAAATGTAATGGACCCATACAATAGTGTGTTATTTGACAATAAAAATAAATGAAGCATCATTATAATTCTGTGACATGGATTGACTTTGGAAACAATAAGCTAAGTGAAAGAAGCTTTCCAGAAAGGACCACACATTATATGATTCTGTTTATATGAAATGTTAGAATTGGCAAACCTATAGAGACAGAAAATATATTCATGGTTGCCTGGGGTTTGGTTGGAAGAGGGAGGGGAATAGAAGGATTTGGTGATGTTGAGAGATGCAAGATTTCATCTAAAAAGAGTGATGAAATTTTTCTAAAGTTGATTATATTGGTGAATTCATAACTCTGTGAATTGTACACCTTAAGTGGGTAGAGTGCATGTTACAGGAATTATAGCTCATAAAGCCATTTCATTTTATTTTTAGGAAAAGAAAGACAGTCAGAGAGGCTTATATATGATGCTTCTCTTCTACAGGTCCCTATAAAATGAAAGTTACCTGGATTACAAGAGCAAGACGGGAGAAAGAGGTTAAGAAGGATAAGAACATGTAGGTAAAAGGCTGATCCTCTTTCAAATGCTTCTGGAAACCTGGGACTCCCATCAGAGTAATGGGAGTGAAGTTGTGGTCACCTCAAGGGCTGTAATGGTCCAGAGGAGAAAGTGTTCAAACCTATATTTAGGTGAGCCTGGAATTTTATCCCATCATACAATTTCAGTTAAATTAAGTGGAATAATCACTATTGTGTTGTCGTTATTAATATTCAGCAGATATTTATTTACTTTTTTCTGTGTAGCAGGCACTGGGTTGGACTAGAAGCAAATCAATGTGATAAATATACCTGGAATATACCTGAAATCCTGCCACTTGGGACAACATGAATGAATGTGGAGATCCTTATGTCAAGTGAAATAAGTCAAACACAGAAAAACAAACACTGTACTATCTTACTCACAAGTAGCATCTCAAAACATCCATCTCAGAGAAGTAGAGAGTGAGGAGGTGTGGGGCAAAGAGGATTGGTGGATGGCTGTGATGTCATTGCTGTAACTACTCTGATCAATTTGGATGCTCTGTGACACAACTAGATAAATATTATTAACAATAGTGCATTGTATATTTCAAAATAGTTAGAAGAGAGAAATTTGAACGTACTCACCATAAAGAAAGGATAAAATGTTAAGGTGATGGATATGCTAATTTCCCTGAGTTGATCACTACTCAGGTGTATATGAATCAAATCACCACACTGTGCCTCATGAACATGTACAAATATTATGTCAATTAAAAAATAAATTTAAAAGTGTCAGAAAGAGAGAAAAATATTATAAAGCATATCTCTGCCTTGTAAGGGCCCACCATCTAGATGATGGGATGGAATAGACACATAGAGTTATCAGCTATAATAATCAGTTGTGTCTGATGGTTCTGCATAAATATTAATATACCTACATTTGAACAACATGTAATAACACGACTTTAGTTAAAATGCAAATCCTATCCTCCAAATATACCTACATTTGGACAACACATTATAACACGATTTTAGTTAAAATGCAAGGTACATATCAAACCCAAGGAAGTAGTAGGAATAATATTTGAGAGGCAGGGTAATTGCTGACAGACTGGCCTAATATTTAGCCATAAAAGACTCATCCATTTTCTGGAGAAACTTTACTTTTTCAGTGAAGTGAAAGGCAAGTTCATCTCTGGCAAGCAGGGGAAAGTGGTGGCTGGAGTGTTTTATCTCCCTCTTTATTGTTACTCCTTTTTAAGTTCCACTTTAAGCATCCTCTCCTGACCTGTTAGACAGAACCAAATGTCTTTGTCCTACCCTTAGGTCTTCCAGAATATGTTACTTTTATAGCACTCGTCACACAGACTCTATTTAAACTCTCTATGTCTTTGTTCCACACTCAGTTATTGAAACCTTGAGCATTGGGTCAGGGACCATGTCTAAACCTCTTTTATATCCCAGGGTAAGCACAGAGTCTCATGCACTGCTTAAATGAACACAACCATATTCCTGAATAAGGAATTTCTGAAAAGGAATACATGGGAAAATTTGCTACCATCATATAAACCTTTAACATAATCCCTTCAGAAATTATTAGACAAAGAAAAATAGTAATAAGGATAAGGAAGACACAAACATAAAAATTAGCAGCCTAATCTAATGTACATCTATAAAACACTGTAGTTGGAAAATACATTTTTTAAATGAAGCACAAATGAATCATTCAAGAGTACTGAAATTTTCCTAACATATAAAGAAGATTTTTTAACTTAACTCAAAGAATTTATTACATAGTTTGTATTTTCTAACCATAATAAAATCTGTAAAAATTTAAAATAAAACAAAAAACATCACCATCTGACTTATAGATCAAGAAAAAGAATATAAATACATATGTAGCAAACAGAATGACAGAATTAATAAAATTGATTAGATATCCACATCAAACTCTAAGCCTGTCTAAATGACATGTCTTTTCAAATTCCAGTGAATATTAAAAATGTAATAAACTTCACAGATTATGTACATTCCATCTTTGACTACAAGTCAATAAAACTAGTCACTAATGAAAAATTTATATAAAATCCAAGTGACCAAGAATTTTAAAACCTATGTTTTTCTAAATAATTCTAACATCAAAAAAGAAATAAAACTGTATTAATCAAAAGTATTCTGAAGGGGGAAATTATAGTGAGAAAGTATATATCAGAAGATAGGGAAAATGTTGTGGTTAGATAGTTGATAAGACCAACAGAGGAAAGAGATTACATTATCAAAGAACTCTTCTGAAAAGCAAACAACCAACCTTGAGGACTCCAAGTATCTTCAGCTAAGTTCCTTAAATTTTTAAGAAAGAATGAATTCTCATGTAACATAAAAGCTGCATGAAATATAAAATACAGAAAGATTCCCAAGTCAGCCATTGAACTAATACATGCTGATGTAAGTAAAGCAAGATGCAAAACCCTAAATTAAGAAAAAAAAAGCAAATAATGACCAATAGTATATCTTAAAATTACTATTATATGGGTAAGCATAAAAAAATCCTTAAAACATGTAAGTACAATTTATTAGAAAAGTCTTTTAAATATGACGCATTATAGCAATAGTTTGAAGTATCTGTATAGATGTCAAAAAAGTAGCAACAATTTACTAGGAATGAGAATATAGCAGGAAACACACACACACACCACACTCTCTCCTACATATAAGATGATTTGCATGTGGTTTGGTGCAGCAAAAAGAAGAATGTTGAAGACAGAAAATCATACCTGGGATACTAGAAATGAAGATTCCCTAGAAAATTCCATACTGGGAGTGAGGGTGGACCACCCACAGGTGGTCCATATGCATATTTCTTGATTGCTTTTTTCCCCCCCATATTGTCTAAGTTGAGACACTTCTATGGACAATATAAAGACAGATTGAGAATTTCTGTCTCCCAAGTTTTGGGCAAAACTTTAAATAAATTCATGTTCCTACTTCTCTCCATAAAGTATGTCATCTTCTCTTTGTGTGGGCAAGCATTCACACCCAGAGCCAGGCTTCATGGCTAGGGGCCCTGGTAACAATAACATATGTGAAGGCCTGAGGAAGGAAGAAGATTGGTGACCAAAGCTAATAAGCACACAGGAACATTTACAAGGGGTGGGGAGAATGCAGAGCTTAAAAAAGAGAATGGAAATGAAAAGCCAGAGTTGTAAGCAGAGCCAGCAGAGTCCAAGACAGAGTGTGTTTCATAAAGCAGGACAAATCAAATGCTATCAAACTCCTATATGAACGCTCCCTCAAAGTGTCCTTTGCTCAGAAATGTAAAACAGGTCTTGCTGGGGTAGATAATGGGAGTAGTTACTAGTGAGAGAAGAGAGGGTGAACAGAGCATGTAAAAGAGGGTGAATATGTCAGTATACTTTACGTACTTGAATGAAAGTAGAACAATGAAGCCTGTTGAAATTGTTTAAGAAGGAGAAGGATGAAAGGGAATGATGGAGGGTGAATCTAACTAAAGTACATTGCAAGTACATATGGAATGTCCCAATAAAACCCTTCTGTTCATCTAACATATGTTAGTAAAAGTGTTCAAAAAACAACAAACAAATGAACAAAAACAACCAAAGTATCCTGTCCTTCGATTGAAGCTAAAGCCTTTTTGGGAAAAGAAACTGAGCATGTCTGGAAGTATTCCTGGCTGCCATCTTTCCTTCTCAATCTATGACCTTAAACTGAGTGTGCCCAAAATATACACATTGAATTGAGTGTGCTCAGGCATATGCCTGCTCTCAAAGTGC